CTCTCTCTCTCTCTCTTTCTCTCTCTCTCTCTCTCTCTTAATAATTATTATTATTATACTCCTAATAAAGCAGGATTCAACGTCTTCTGGTGCATTTCCTTTCTATTGTGACCCGCTCCCTTTGTCGTGGGCCTATCCTCAGGACCTTTGACTTTCCGGGGTGACCACACTCGGGAGCGTAATAAGTTGACCTCTTAAAAGCACATAACTACTTATGATTATTTTGTTTTATTTATGTGGTTTTACGCCGCATCGACACAATGTAGATCATTTATGAGACGGGCTTCCGACCCTGCCTATAAAGTATAAGGGCTTGAAAGGATACAGTATCCCAGCAGAAAGATCGAGATACTCGATTTAAAAAAATATCCCTGATCAGGAGTCAGACTCGTATTTTATACACGTAAGCTTATATCAACCGAACCTGTTCTAAAGGGCCACATATATAAGGTAAACACCTGTACTAACGGCCAATTCCCATTTCCTCCCTCGCGGTGGGTTGTTTGTTTTTTTTTTTTTGGGGGGGGTAGTTTTTAAATTATTTTTTTTTTACAATGTATTGACACTAAGTGAAATGGCTATCCGTCTAATCCCTTTTCTCCTCGACAATGGTTGGCCGTCCTAGACACGTTCAACCATGTGGGCCTTTTATGAGTATGAGAATTTATAAAAACAACTTGCAGTGCAGTGCATCCTTTCACTTTGCAAGGTAGTTGTTGTTTTTTATTCTCAAAAACCATTACTTTTTTCTTGTCTGTAGATGCAGCAGGCATAATCTCTCCGTCACTGTGGACACTGGCCTTACTGATCTGCTGCACCGCCGTATACCACCATTATTCTTGATGACGTGGATTCTTGCACAATACTCAGACCACTACTTTGGTGAACTGTGTGACCAAGTATGCTAAAGGTTTTGGTCTTATATCACAGAAGATTTTGAACCTCGTGAATTGAACATGAGGGAGAGGCAGGGGAGAAATAGTGTGTGTGTGTGTGTGTGTGTGTGTGTGTGTGT